CCTTTTAGTGTTGTATAGACCTTAGTTGAGTCACTTAAATTTTAGAGTTGATAATTATTTCCTTTTTCTTTTGTAAATGATTTGATTACGTTAATTGGTTGTGATATTGGTCCGCCTATAAGTAGGCTGGGTTTTTCTCTCTCTCTCTTCGAACCTTCTGATCAAGCCACCGTCACAGAGAGCATCCAGACGTGATGCGCTCGTCTCCTGTCTTTGTAGGCCGCCGCTGACCTCTCCAGCCTGCCATGTGGTATTCTTGTTCGTTAGCCTTTGTTTTTTGCAGAATTTTTTGTAACTTTGACCTGGTGGGACCAGTTGTCCTGTTTTCGTTCTTTTTTTCTTTTTTTAGGGTTTTAACCGTTAGTTCGTTACTAGCAGAGGCTTCGACGGCCCTGTATAGGGTTGGCCCTCTGCTGTAACATTTTGTTTCTTTGGATCGGCTCACAAGGTCCAACTTTCTGTTCATACTTTGGGGGGGTTTTTTCTCTTAGAGTTTTTTTTTGACACGGGGAACTGGGGAAAAATCTGACTCTCTGTTTTTTTTGTCTCTTTGCAGAAAAACAAAACAGCTGATCTAAAAAGAAGTTCCAGAGACTAAGAATAAAATAATTCTTTTGAACCTCATGTTTGTCTCGTGTCCTCAAATATGTTGTGGCCTGGGTGGTCGTAACAACCGCCTTTGAGCTTGAAGCCCAAAACTGCATTTGTCGGTTTTATTTTGTATAGTTTATATCTCGTTGAACCTATATCTCAATGTGGTGGGGGGTTTAAGGACTTTCCTATGGAGCCATGCCTGGGATTGGGGGTTGTCAGTGAGTGCCTGGTGTTTGGGTAATCTTGTTGGATTAAAAGCCTCAAAGAAAGACACAATGAGATACCATAGTTGGCCATTCATCTAAAGGAAGTAACCATGAGGGACCTTTGAGAGGAGTGGGTAGCTTTTGGAGGTTGAAGCCTCTGCAAGATGATTCAATTACAGTTCAATTGGTTCTGGGGCTAGTAATGTCATCTCACTGAAGCGAAGGTACCTAAGCTTGTACATGAGGTTGAGCCATTCTGGCTAGAGATTGTCAGGGTCACCTTTACACATAGCATGGGATCTGGAACCTACCTCTTTGAGAGAGGCTGGACTTTCTTCTTCTATGACTTTCTTATTCTATGAAGTAGCCTACAGATCAGGGGCGTCTCTAGGTTTAAGAGACAAGGGTGGCTCAGCCCCTAGAAGATATTGCGCGTGCATAGCACGCGCCGAAATTTTTTC